AACCCTAAACCCTAAACTAGAGGGTTTAGGGTCTAGGGTTTAGGGTGTGGGGTTTAGGGCTTGGGGGTTTAGGATTCAAGCTTTTCTGAGGGTTTCAGTGGGGGGTGAAGCAGGTAGGGTGGAGATTTCGAGGCGAGGGTGCTGAGCAGAAGCTGCGTCGGGCTCAAAGGCGTGGCTTTGGTTAGGAGGGCAAGCGCAGCCACGGAGACGCCACAGAAGTTTAGGGTTTAGGGTTTAGGGTTTAGGGTTTAGGGTTTAGGGTTTAGGGGTTTAGGGGTTTAGGGTTTGGGCCTTTCTAAGCAGAAGAACAAGGCTTCGGGGTAGGCTGTATAGTATACTCATAGTCAGGAACCTCAAGGAGCGATCTTAGCAATCAGTCGGGCTACTATAGCATAGTAGAACTACCCTAAACCCTAAACCCTAAACCCTGGCTAGATAAGGGCCCTTTAAAGAAGATGAGGTCTATGTCGCTTTCCCGACCTTAAGCTAGACTCCGGCAATCAACAAACTCAGCCCTAGACACTGAGAAAAGACCCAAAGAACAGAGGTCCCCAAGCCCCTACACCCTTGTATAAACGCAAGAAGAAACTCCCTGAGTTGTAGTTCCAGAATCTTCTCTGGGTTTCGGCGGTCGCCCCTAAACCCTAAACCCTAAACCCTTAAAGAATGGCGCCTTCTATGAACTCCATAAGCGTAATCTCACCATCGCCATTGTCCAGGAACCTGCCCCCAGAGTCCCCGGAGACTTGAGGGCTAAGAGTTTCGAGAGTTGGGTTTAGGGTTTAGGGTTTGGGGTTTGGGGTTTAGGGTTTAGTTGAGGACTTTTCGGGTTTTGGGCTTAGGACGTAGGCTTGGGATTCAAAATTTAGCTCGGGGTGGAGGACTTGGCAGTCAGAGTTTAAGACGTAGGCTTTGGGATCCATGTGCTGAGGGTGCGGAAGGTTGCGAACTGATAGCAACTGCATGGCATTTAAGGGTTTAGGTATGTTTGTCCTTGGCTTGGCAGTACAGAGAGGGTTGCGTCTCCTGCAGCAGTGCTCTGTAGAGAAGTGCTGCACTAAATTCTCCACCAGAGGATGAAGTGAACCTTTATGCATTCCAGCAACAGCAAGCTGTGAAGACCAGTGCGCTTGAACAAAGCTCTAGACCTGTCATATAACATGTTACATGTTCTGTGCATGGCCATTCCTTGGACAGGCGCCTCTCATGCACCGTGCCAACATCTAAACCCCAAGAGCTACAACAGCTTCACATGTTGAAAGCTGTTTCAACTCCCCTCCGACCACCTGAACCCTGTGAGACCGCAGCCAAGCAACTCGAACAAGGACATGAGATCGTGGTATTCTAGCTCCAACTGGCTCATCCAAAACCTGGGCACAAGTGCATGTCGGGTGAACACGGGGCTTGGTCCCACATGGGATTTTCTGGTGAGCAGAGTATTCAGAATAGGCCTTTTGCAGGGTTGAGCTTTGGAGAAGCAATCAAATTATGGCCGCACACTCTGACTTTAGAGACATGCTGCTGTACTGTACTACCAACTATTGACTTGCTGTTGGTCTCATCTTTTCGTCATCATATTTGTCTATTCTGATTGCAATTGAGACCTAACCCCTAACCTTACAACGCTAAACATTAGAGTCATAGTTTGGCGTCTCGAGCATTGCAGAGGCTGCTCGAACCGCACCCGGGTTCCGAGGCTCTCTTAACACCTAGCAGTAGGCTTACTTGCTGTCGGAGCATAGGGCGTGGCTTGAATAAAGAAACGAAACGCAAGCGAACGACACGAGCGATAGAAGCTTCCGTGATGTCTTCTCATTGAAAGAAAAAGGACCAAATGAAGTGAATGTGTGAACGAAATGCGTTCTGCCGGCTTTAACTTGAACGGCATCATGCCATGCGGCACAATGCAAGAAGAGCACAGAACACGACAAGTAAGCGAGTGAATGAGCGAACCCTGTGTTCACTTCCATGTCTTCGCTACATAATTGAACCGTGCATTCGTTTTGCTTCTTTGCGTTTGATATGCTGCGTCCAATATAAACAAACATGCAGCAAATGGGTATCTTATTACATTCCTGTTTAGCTGCGCGTGCCTTCTATTCGCTGGTGCTTTTCCGTGGGCTCTCGCCACGGAATTGAACTATGTCAGTTACAATAATAGGAAAATCCAGCCAAAAAGAAACGCGTTTTCCTCAGTTTAGGGCAGCTGAGCGTAAGCCTAATATGAATACTTGGAGGATCATGGGACTTAGTAAGTAGGGTTATAAGTGCCTTAATTGGGGTTATAAGTATAGTTACCCTAATAATAACCGTAGTTACTAAGTCCCATGATCCTTTAAGTAGGAGGCACCCTGAACCCTAAACCCTAAACCCTAAACCCTGAACCCTGAACCCTAAATCCTAAACCCTAAACCCTAAACCCTAAACCCTAAACCCTAAACCCTAAACCCATAGGAGGCAGCCGGCGAGCTTCAACATCGGGGATTTCACGAGCTTGGAAAACTCTTCGTAGTTGATGACTCCGTCCCCTGAGACATCCATCGTCTGGAAGAGTCTCCGTAGCTTCCTCGTATAATTGGCAATGTCCTTGGTTTGGTTTAGGGTTTAGGGTTTAGGGTTTAGGGTTTAGGGTTTAGGGTTTAGGGTGTCAAGCGCAAAGAAGGGAAGCACATGTTTGGGAGGAAAGAGCACTTGCTTTCAGCTGTGACTGGCCGAGACCGGGCCGCAAAGAGAATCCCAATGAAGGGGCCTAAATAATTACCTATACTATGTTGGGGGTTCCGTAGTATAAGCATAGTATAATGGGCACCCGAAACCCAATTCCAATTATTAAGGCTCCTACATTAAACCCGAAACCCTAAACCCTAAAACCTAAACCCTAAACCCTAAAACCTAAACACTAAACCCTGAACCCTAAAACCTAAAACCTAAACCCTAAACCCTAAGAGCAGGATAGACGCGTTCTCTGCCCTGGCACACGCAGAGCCGCTCCTAGCCTTCGAGAAGAGGAGCCCTTTTATCAAGTGATGCAAGGTCTGGTTTGGGGTTTAGGGTTTAGGGTTTAGGGTTTAGGGTTTAGGGTTTAGGGTTTAGGGTTTAGGGTTTAGGGTTTAGGGTTTGGGGTCTATAACCACCCTACCACCAAAACTAAGAAGCCGGGAACTTAGCCCAAGGCGCCTGAAACCCCAACAATTCGACCAGGGCTTTGGCGATATGATATGCAACTATTATTTTAAGGGGGCCCCAAAGGAAGGAACAGCATCACTAGTTATTCCGACCCTCCGCAGCTATACATGTAGGGGCCTAAATAATTACCAATACTATTTTGGGGGTTCCTCATTATCAGTATAGTATAATGGGCCCCAAAAGCCTATTCCAATTATTAAGGCTCCTACATTAAACCCTAAACCCTAAACCCTAAGAGCAGGATAACTACCCTCCGCAGCTATACATCACGGTGTTGCCCGAGCTGCCCGCTCCTTCTGCTTGAATGCGAGCTCTTCGTCGGAGCTGGCCGTTTTCATTGTCTGCTGTACGAAGACCGCAGAAACCACATTGAGCACTGCGTATCCAAGAACACACCTGGAGGGAACCCAGGTATATCAACCCATCCATCGAAACCTCCTTGCAGGCTTTCGCTGTGAGCTTTCTGGTTTATGAGGTTTTTCTGCAATACCGCTAGATACAAGTAGTCATGTCCATGGCCATTACAACAGTCTCTGCCAGGAAGGCTGCTCGCTAGCAGCGGAAACAAGCATTCCTCAACAGCGACAACAGGGACTAAAGAAGCGACAAATGGCAGCGAGGAAAATGTCTTCTAGTGCTTCGCCACTGATTACTCTAGCAACATTGCAACAATCATCTGCATCCTTTCCTCGCACAAACCCAGGATGCATGTATACATCCTGACATCAGCAAGCACTGCTTAGGCTGATTTGAAGGCTTGGTAGGCATGGGGTGAATTGGACTTCACGAATTTGGGCTCAGTGGAGGAGGACGCTTTATGAGGGTGTAATGTAGGGGCCTCAATAATGAGGATACGGTGTTGGGGTCTAGTGTACTATAATTATAATAAGGAGCCCCCAAAAAATTGTATAACTAATTATTAAGGCCCCTATGCCGTATATTAGAGGTCTAGAGTTTAAGGTGGGAGGAGATCTCCAGTCGATGTGTGGATTTGTGTACGTGTGAGCTCCCTGGGTAACCGGACTGGAGTCAGGATTACAGTTGTTTTCAGGTTTTTTGAAAAAAGACGTTCAGGGTTTAGGGTTTGGGGTTTAGGGTTTAGGGTGAAGGCCTATGTTCAAGATGAAAGCTACACGCAGGAAGAGAGCTTCTGGCATCAGTCCGGGGCTCGTCTTTGTTCTCGGTGGTTGCAGCTGTGCTTCTGGTTGCTTTCTTTCACTGGCATGAGACCAAGTCGTGACACCCGACGCCTAAACCGTAGCTTCTGAATCCTACTGTTAGCTCTGGAATGTGCTTTGGAGCTTCAGGGAGCAAGGGTTTCGGGTTTGGGGTTTTTAGGGGCAAGGTGCAAAGAACAGTACCCTTGTACTCCCACGCGCCACGCCTGTACAGAAGGAAATAGACGGAAAACCACTCGCTGATGTTCCTGCAGGGCACAACGCGAAAACTTGGCGCAAGTGGCGTTCAGGTGTTTGGGCTCATTCTTCTATGAATCCTTGTGCCCAAACCTCTAGCAGCACTGTTTGTCGTATTCTCAGTGGTCGGTTCGGGGTCGACGACAAGTTGCAGCGCCCAAAAACAAAGTCAGAGCTTGCTGTAAGAGGCAAAGCTGCTCGACCAGCACTCGGCACGGCGGGCTCCAGTTCGCAAATAGCAGCTCAAACATTGACAGAAACGTCCGACTGAACGTTCCTGAACATGACATGGCTCTCAGGGGGGCCGAAAGGAAGAAGTCTACCCAATCTACCCATGATGAGATCTTTATGATGGGAAACGAAGGAGCTTTCGTGAGGATCATTTCAAAACTTCTGACAAGCTGAGCGGCCGTAGTATCGAAACACATCTTCACGCACTTGTAGCGACTGGTTCTCGTCGTTGATGAAGTCCCGGCAAAGTGTGTTAGCAACCATTCCCGAAACGCATTGAAAGAAGGCGATCAAGCAAAATGTCCAGAACAAGATGTTCGTGCTGGCTGCCAAGCAGCGTATGAGCAGATGCAAGGAAGCCAGCACGCTGTTCATGGTAATCATGCGAATTGCTCTAGCCAATTTCCCGATGCGCAACAGGCGGAAAAGGATCGGATTTACCGCCAAATTCGCACTCAAGGCATAGAAAAGGACTATCTCCAAGAGTGATGTCCCAGACACGGCCACATCAATGTAGTTCATTGGCACCTTCCAGAACTTGCATCGTAAAATCGCTATCCGCACGAGAACATCCAGCACAAAGAAGGCTGTGAAGGTGATGTCGCCGATCCTGGGCTCACTGTGGGTTTAGGGTTTAGGGTTTGGGGTTTAGGGTTTAGGGTTTAGGGTTCTTGTGACCAACCCCCTGCCGATCTGAACAGGCCGTAGGCTGACCCCGTCCTTCCTTTCAGCAGTTCTCGAAGGTTGACTGTGAGTTGGCGAGGTCAAACTTCATGTAGTTCAAGGACAAGACTTGGCGTAAGTTAGGACCTACTTGACCCCAGAAACCAAGCGAAAGCACTGCATGACAAGTTTAACATCCAGGCACGCGAACACGATCTCCCACACTGCCCAGGTTGCATCAGACACCACCACGGTCTCAAAGACACCGATGGTGTGGCCGGAACGGTAGCCGTCCACCTGCACTCACTCGTTTATGTCAGGGCAATCCTTCGCCGTGAGCCCCGAACTACCATAAAACTCGAATCCGAAGCAATACGATGTCATGCTACAGCAGATCCGGAAACTTTCGCCCCCACCACAACATCTCTGTGGCCCAGCCTACATCAGAAACCCATGTGTTCAGGGTTCGAGAGCTCGGATTATAACTTGCTGCACAACCCATTCCGCCAAACCTTCTTTCTAGCTGGGATCCACCACCAGTCTTCTTTGACCCCAAGGAAGGTAGTGCCCAAACCCTAAACCCTAAACCCCAAAGCCCTAGATCCTGAAGGCTAAACACCACGGCCGAAAAGCTTGCAGCAGAGAACCCCTAAGCCTCACGCATGCCTTTCCCGGGTCTGGGGTTTAGGGTTTAGGGTTTAGGGTTTAGGGTTAAGGGCTAGCCCCAACCTCCCTCCCCCCAAAAACAAAATTGTTCTCTGTAGTGGAGGGTCTAAGCTGTGTAATGGGGCCTGGGTAATTACCACCACTATGTTCGGCTCCTTATAATAGGTAAATTAAATATGATTACAAGTACAATATACACATTTAATAGCAATGTGCCCCCCAAAAGTGAGGCCCTAGAAGTAATGTAGGAGCCGTAATAATTAGACTCGAGTTTTGGGGTAGGTTATATAATTTATCATAAGAAGGGACCCCCAAAATCATAGTATTGGTGATTATGTAAGCCCCTAAACCCCAAACCCTAAACCCTGAACCCTAAACCCTAAACCCTAAACCCTAAAGGGTTTGTTTAGGCCCCTATGTTATGTGCATCGCCGACCTGCGCCTCTAGGGCCATCCAGAGGACATTGAAGCCTGGATTTGGGTTTAGGGTTTAGGGTTTAGGGTTTAGGGTTTAGGGTTTAGGGTTTATAAGGTTCAGGGTTTAGGGCTTAGGAGTTTTCTAAATTAGGGTCCGTTTTTGGTGTCCTTTTTTATAAGGGTGCCGTAATAGATGGTGGTTTCCGAAAATAGGGGACCCTAATATAGCACCCTAAATAGCAGGATCCTTATTATAAGGACCCCCCCAAATAACGTACCTAAACCCTAAACCCTAAACCCATAAATAACGCTCCCAGATCCGAAAAGGGACCCTCACTTAGAGAACTACCCATCTGGGGCTTCAGCTCCACAGAGTCGGCTCCGGAGCTTTACGGTTGAGGGTTTAGGAGCTGAGGGGGTTTATGGTTTAGGGTTTAGGGCTTATAGGGTTTAGGGGTTTAGGGGTTTAGGGTTTAAAGGTTTAGGGTTTAGGGGTTTAGGGTTTAAAATTTAGGGTTTAGGGGCTGAGGGTCTAGGAGCTTAGGGGTTTAGGGCTTAGGGTTTTGAGGTTTTGGGGCTTAGGGGCTTAGGGGTTTAGGATTTAGGGTTTAGGGTTTTTAGGGTTTATAAGGTTTAGGGTTTTGGGGCTTAGGGCTTAGGGTTTAGGGTTTAGGGGTTTAGGGTCTAGGAGCTTTGGGTTTAGGGCTTAGGGTTTAGGGTTTAGGTGTTTAGGGTCTAGGAGCTTTGGGTTTAGGGCTTGGGGTTTAGGGTTTGGGGTTTAGGTGTTTAGGGTCTAGGAGCTTTGGGTTTAGGGCTTAGGATTTTGAGGTTTTGGGGCTTTGGGGCTTAGGGGTTTAGGGTTTAGGGTTTTTAGGGTTTATAAGGTTTAGGGTTTAGGGTTTTAAGGGTTTTTAGGGTTTATAAGGTTTAGGGTTTAGGAGATCTCCAACTGGAAACCTGGGAGCTCGAAGCTCTGAGCCCAAAGCCCTAGAGTCCAAGCCAATCTCCAAAACCAAAGCCCCCTAAACCCTAAACCCTACACCCTATTCTAATTATTAAGGCCCCTACACTAACCCTAAACCCTAAACCCTAAACCCAAACCCTAAACCCTAAACCCTATTCTGACAGTTAAGGCCCCTACATTTAATCCAGACCTGCGGTTTGAAGTCCACCGAAATCCCGACCCAAACCTTGCGAACAGCTGCTCAGAGGGTCCCGAGCCAAACCCATCATGGGAAATGCTGCGGCGGTACGCCTTAATAATTAGCATAGGGTTTAAGGCCAGGGTTTAAGGCTTAGGGTTTAGGGTTAGTGTAGGGGCCTTAATAATTAGAATAGGGTTTAGGGTTTAGAGTTCAAGGCTTAGGGTTTAGGGTTAGTGTAGGGGCCTTAATAATTGGAATTAGGGTTTTGGGGCCCATTAGACTATAATTATAATAAGGAGCCGCGCCCAAAATAGTATAGGGCAATTCTTAGTGCCCCTATATTACGCTTCATGAGGGGAGACTGGTGATGGTGGCTGAAGTGGTGATGATTGAAGGCGATGACCATTCAGTCAATGCACGCGAACCCTCTGCGCTGGTCAACATCCAGCTACATCACGCTGAGTTGCTACTGCGAGAAGTGTGCAACAACAGCTGTGGCAAAGAACATTTTTGACATAAACACCGTGACACGTGCATTCACAGTATGAGTTTGCTTGAAGCCGCCGTAGCGCCAGATAGTCGTGCCCTGAGTTTTGTCAGCGCACATAAACTTTGATGTTCTTGTTGTTTAGGTCATGAGGGTTTAGGGTATATAGGGCTTAGGGTTATGATGATCCTTGACAGCTTGGCGACTGCAGGGAACAATCATGAATGACTAGCTGCCAAATTAACACCGATGCTTCTTGGAGTGCTTCATTCTTCATCACCATCATCAGCATAAGCTGTGCTGTCGCTGAAACAATGTCAGATGTTCTTTTGTAGATTGAAGCGAGGGACAGAGCACGGCGGCGATCAGCATCTCATACTGAGCCGACTCGAACCAGTCTGCTATCCTCTCCAGCCTCTCGCGTGTGGGCTGAGGATTGAGAATCTCGCATGTAGTGCATCGGGGATTTAACATTAATTGTGTAGGGTTTAGGGTTTAGGGTTTCTTGATTCGGGCGTGTCATCTCGGGTGGCTCTAAGCTGTCTATACCGACTCCACACGGGTGGTTCTCTAAAACAGGGTCCCTTTTTAGGTCCGCAATAGAGTACGGCACCCTTATAAAAAGGACCCCAAAAGGGACCCTAATTCTTCGGTAACTACCCTTATAGACCTTTCTAGATCCCTTTAAAGGGACCCTAATTTAGAAAAAACTACCCACCTACAAGGCCTCGTCATCTTGCTCAGACGAGCCCGATGCTCGGATTCCGTCTCCTGAGGCTTCATGAGAACGTCAAGGTCATCGTCATCGTCATAGGCAGCAACCATGTAGGCACCCAGCCGAACGTCATCCTCCTGTCGCAGAATTCTTCATGTGTGCGGGGAGGGGGGCGGGAAGAATCAAAACCTCAATTGCATTCACAACCTGCCTAGACACACCCAGTGAGAGGAGTGTCACAAACGGTAGGCAACTCCACAGCTTATCATCCAAGCGACACTGCTCAAGGCATGTAGCAGCTGATTGGCATTGATGTGCTTGTGATGAGGCTTCCCGGATTCTGTGTCTGAACCTTGCCAGCACAAGCTTTGAAGTCCCAGCTCTGGTGCAAAACAAAACAGCACAGCGCAAGAATCTAAGCCAAACCCTAAACCCTAAACCCTAAAGCCTAACCCTAAGCCCTAAACCAGCTCAACAAAAATCGAGCCGCTAGTGTACTCTTTTCTGACGCGCCGTGGATGCTCCGGCTCTGGCACCTTCAGAGATACCTGTTCCAAGCTGGCTTAGATTCGGTTTGGGGTTTAGGGTTTAGGGTTCCGGGATGCAAGGCTTGTCGTTGCTTAGCCGATGTAACAGCTCCCGGTGAAAAGAGCAGCTGATTCAACCCTAAACCCTAAACCCTGAACCCTGAACCCTAAACTCTAAACCCTAAACCCCATCAGCTGATGAACAGTCGTCGGTAAGTACGCGGAAATTAATTCCTTCTGGAGAGCGTCCTGCTCTGGAGGAAAAGGACGACAGACAGACAACACATCTGCAGCAGAACCGCACAACCGCCAAGAGTAAACCCCTGAACCCCTAAACCCTAAACCCTAAACCTAAACCCTAAACCGAGTTAAGCTACAGACCTTTCTAGGAGAAAAAAACACAAACTCTCCAGGCTCCAGTCCCAAACCCCGAACCCCAAACCCCTAAACCCCTAAGCCCTTGAACCCCTAAATCAAGGCTTGCACTAACCATGCTCGCTCGGGGTGGGTGCTTCTAACATGTTTGAGTGCTCGCTCGTTTGTCTGCTCCGGCTGCTTCTTTGCATGAGGCGTGCTGTGCAGGCCAGCGAGCACGCAATTTTGTTAGAAGCACGCACCTCGAGCGAGCATGCATTGGATTTTCCTGGAACCTAACCCCAAACCCTAAACACCTCTACGACGAGTCTGAGGCCTAAAACACGGGTCGATTTGGCATGCTCGCTCGGGGAGGGTGCTTCTAACATTTTTGGGTGCTCGCTGGGCGCGCGTGGGCTCTGAGCGCGCATGAGAGCGAGCCATACAATCGAGCGAGCACGCAGTTGTGTAGGAAGCACGCAACTCGAGCGAGCATGGCTATCGAAATCCTTGACTAAACCCAAACCCCCAAACCCTAAACCCTAAACCCTCCACCCCTAAACCCCTAAGCCCCAAACCTCTAAACCCGAAACCCCTAAACTCTCGGGGTGCCTGCTGCGACTCATGTGAGCGGTCCCCTGACATGGCACCCGCAACTTCCCGGCTGTGCTGCCTCGAGGTACACGGTTTAGGGTTTACGGTTTAGGGGTTTAGGGGTTTGGTGGTTCGGGGCTTAGGGGTTAGGGTTTAGGGTTTAGGGGTTTAGGGGTTTAGGGGTTTAGGGGTTTAGGGTTTAGGGTTTGGGGTTTAGGGTTTAGGGTTTGGGGTTTAGGGCCCCAGCATCGAATCCTGGTTTCAGGCTCTCTTTCAAGGCTCAGGCAATCCAGCCAAAAAGCTTAGGGCTGCGTTATTCAGATGTCTGTATATGGGTAGTTCTCTAAATTAGGGTCCTTTTTGGGGTCCTTTTATGAGGGTGCCGTACTAGATTGGGGACCTAACAAGGGCCATAATTTCGAGAACTACCCATATGTCTATCGTTTCGCAGATGTACACACACTCAAGCTGTAAAGCAACATGGTGCTGTAGTAGCTGAGTTTCTGCGAGCTTCCGTAAGCCCCCTGGGAAAATGCCTTACTCAATCTAAAGACCTCAATAAGAGAGCCCCTATCCATCAACCCTGCATCATGCCCCCTAGAAAATACCACAAAATCCGTGATTGAATCGACCCACCCTAAACCCTAAACCC